GATTACTGACTTGGCCAATGACTAAAAATCCTACAAACTCCTTTGTGACAAACAATGTAACGTTTTTTTTTTTTAAATAGAGCCTAAATATTACTGGATGTGGTGCACTTTTGCTAAATGTTTAGACAAATTGCTTGTGTTACCGCCCTGACATGCTAAACTGTTATTGCACTTTATGGCAGCTTTTAAAAAGGGAGAAGCTTTTCTTTCTTTCATTGTACATGTATAATGACATTAAATGATTATATATTCTATTCTATAGCCAAAAGCAATAAATGATTTCTCACTTTTGGCAAAGAGCATTGTCCACCTCAAAACGGGTAACATTTAACCACACCTAGGAGCGCTTAGTTCTCTCTCCACCATGTGTGTGTGTTGCATGCATGTAGCAGCCGCGTGTGTATAAACTGCCTCACCCCCTCGCACACAGACGGGGAGAGAGAGATCTCTCCTCTGGATTGGAAAGATTGAAAATACATCGACGCATTTTGTCTTATTGCATATTATAAACGGTGTTGGCGAAACTAAGACTGCAATATAATGTTAAATGTCTCAAGTACCGATAAACAGACCGTCCTGCTAGAGAGGTGGTACTTTCCTGGGGAGAAAAGGTTAGTGGGTGTGTCGGCAACACTAACTATTTTTGACCAACTTATGGCAACACAAAATAATACATGGGAGCGGTGGAGTGATGAGGAGGTGTCGGTGCTTCTGGCGATTTACTCGGAAGGCTTCAGTAGAAGCCAGTCCCCAACTCCGGGGACTTCCGGTGGCAGTATACGCCGTGAAGTTGTTTGCGGTGTAGTGGGGCCGACACACCCACGAACCATTTCCTCCTCAGGAAAGTAATAACTCGCTAGCAGGGACTATCTGGGGGTGGAAATAAGGTTCGGGGGGGAAAAGTACTCGTGTGAAACGTTATATGAACGTTAGCCTCGGTAACATTAACCCCTTGCCGCCAGAGAGTAACGTTACCAAAACCAACGTGATTTCACATGCTTAGTTGTGTCCTAATATTACCACAGTGATAAGAACAAGTTAAACAAAAAACATACTTACAGCCGGTCAGGAACACAGTAGGCTAGGAATGGCCAGTATACAAGCCAGGTGAAGCTACAAACAAAAAAGCATAGTAACAGGCAGTATTCAACTTGTATTAGCCACAAACTAATAATAAAGTCTAACAAGACAAAGATTGAATTTATCACGTATTTAATTTGAGAGCAGTATCAAGTTATCTTATAATGTTAATGATACATGTTACACTTCAATTAGGTTACTTAAACATTACTACACAACTAAGCTAGGTTAACAGTAGGCTAACAGTTAGCTAGCTGCTGTAGGCCTACGTTTGCTAATGTTAATCTATCAAAACACACAGTCAATAGCGTTAATGTTAGCTATTAATCTACCTGTTTAAGTATAATATAATACACCCAAGGCTATGAATGAGCTACTTACTTAAAACGGAGAGCCGTGGAGAACGTTCACCTCACGACAGAGGAGCTACGCAGGCAGTCAGGTGATGGTCCTTCCGAATGGAAAATGGAGGGAAAAGTGGCGGGCTGCTTGTGTATGCACATGCGCAGACAGGACAGTATATGTGGTAATTAAATTGTACATATTTGTTTCTAATTACTTTTAAATGAATGAAATGAGCTTGTTTTAAACAGTGACAATATATGTTAAGATTAATTAAAAAAGATAAGAAGGATGCAATAACACATTCAAATCTATTAAAAAAGGCTAGATTAAAACATGTAACATCTAAAAGGGGTCATAATCAGTTTTTTCAGTGTGGTCTGGGGGAAGCTCGCGAGTGTGTTTGTGTATTTTTGCGTTTGTGTACCGGGGAAACACTCACAAGAAACACCGGCTGTTGCTTGCTGTGACGTTACATTAGTCCGTTCTCTGCTTGTAATTATGCCGAAGCTTCAAAGTTGTATTTATCATCTGAATTTGCCGAAACAAGTTTAATATTCTGAAAGCCAATACTTTGTTTATTTGAAAACATGAAAACAAACTGTCTTTTATATAAAATTGAAGTATTATACAAGTAAAACTACATTTTTGCTTTAATCCCATGTAATTGTAGAATGAACACAGTCTTCCTTTGCAGATGTCTAAGTCAGGTGTCTTGAGTAGTCAAAATTACCTACAAATCATTGTACACATTTGTACATATTATTTTCCACTTGTTACCATTGTGAGTCTATTTTTATGCAGCTCTGCATGATTTTGTGGCTACAATTCAGGCTAATACGCTACCAGAGGTGGAATAAGTACTCAGATATTGTACTTGAGTAAAATTAGTACCAGAGTGTAGGAATACTCTGTTACAGTAAAAGTCCTGCATTCAAAATGTTCCTCAAGTAACAGTATAAAGTATCCATCCATCCATCTTCTCCCGCTTATCCGTGGTCGGGTCGCGGGGGTAGCAGTTCCAGCAGAGAGCCCCAAACTTTCTTTTCCCTGGCGACATCAACCAGCTCTGACTGGGGGATCCCAAGGCGCTCCCAGGCCAGCGAAGAGATATAATCCCTCCGCCTGGTCCTAGGTCTACCCCTTGGTCTCTTCCCAGCTGGACGTGCCTGGAACACCTCCCTAGGGAGGCACCCAGGTGGCATCCTAACTAGGTGCCCGAACCACCTCAACTGGCTCCTTCGACACGAAGGAGGAGCGGCTCAAACTCCGAGTCCCCTCCCGGATGACCGAACTTCTCACCTTATCCCTAAGGGAGACACCAGCCACCCTGCGGAGAAAACCCATCTCGGCCGCTTGTATCCGCGATCTCGTTCTTTCGGTCATGACCCATCCTTCATGACCATAGGTGAGGGTAGGAACGAAAATTGCCCGGTAGACAGAGAGCTTTGCCTTCTGGCTCAGATCCCTTTTCGTCACAACGGTGCGGTAAAGCGACTGCAGTACCGCTCCCGCTGCTCCGATTCTCCGGCCCATCTCACGCTCCATTGTTCCCTCACTCGAGAACAAGACCCCGAGATACTTGAACTCCTTCACTTGGGATAAGGACTCATTCCCTACTTGGAGTGGACAGTCCATCAGTTTCCTGCTGAGAACCATGGCCTCAGATTTGGAGGTGCTGATCCTCATCCCAGCCGCTTCACACTCGGTTGCGAACCGATCCAGTGAGTGCTGAAGGTCGCAGACCGATGAAGCCATTAGAACCACATCATCTGCAAAAAGCAGTGGTGCAATCCTTAGTCCACCGAACTGCAGACCCCCTCCCCCACGACTACGCCTCGAAATCCGATCCATGTATATTACAAACAGGATTGGTGACAAAGCGCAGCCCTGGTGGAGGCCAATCCTCACCGGAAATAGGTCCGACTTACTGCCGAGGACCCGGACACAGCTCTCGCTTTGGGAGTACAGAGATTGGATGGCCCTGAGTAGAGACCCCCTCACCCCATACTCCCGCAGCACCTCCCACAATAACTCCCTGGGAACTCGGTCATACGCCTTCTCCAAGTCTACAAAACACATGTAGACCGGATAAGCGTACTCCCAGGCCCCCTCCAGGATCCTTGCGAGAGTAAAAAAGCTGATCCGTCGTTCCACGACCAGGACGGAATCCGCATTGTTCCTCCTCAATCTGAGGTTCGACAATCGGCCTGACCCTCCTTTCCAGTACCTTAGAGTAAACTTTCCCGGGGAGGCTGAGTAGTGTGATGCCTCTGTAATTGGCACACACCCTCTGATCCCCCTTTTTAAAAAGGGGAACCACCATCCCGGTATACCACTCCTTCGGTACTGTTTCCGACTTCCACGCAATGTTGATGTCAACCATGACAGTCCCTCAACACCCAGAGCCTTCAGCATTTCTGCTAAGTATAAAGTATTATCATCAAAATATAGTGAAAGTAGCGACAGTAAAAGTAGTCGTTGTGCAGATTGGTCCATTTCAGAATAATATATATGATATGTTTTATAATGATTGATCATGAAAGTGTTCTCAAAGCTGGTAAAGGTGCAGCTAGTTTGAATTACTTTGTATACTGCAGGGTAGCTTGTGGATTTACTCCAGGTGGAACTAAAGTCTGATTTAACACTTGATTAGATTTCACATAATTCATCCACATCTGTGAAGTAACTAAAGGTATTAAATACATGTAGTGGAGCAAAAGTACACCATTTACCTCTGACTTATGTTTACTGCCAACCTAAAAGTACCTCAAAAATAGTAATCAATAATGTATTGAAAAGTTATTTGGCTGATTGTTTTATATTGGCTCAGACAGGTTATATGGGAGGCCTAGTCTACGACGTACAGATCACAAATTTTTAAATATTAAACTTATTTTCTTTAATTTGTCATCCTCATGTAGAATGCTATCACGAAACACACATTTGGTTGTTTATAGCATAAAGAACATCTGATTTAATGTGAGGTAGGGAAATAATCATTTGAGTATGTGTATATAAATATGTAATTTACAACAGCTGTAAGATGCTTGAAAAGCTGGAAAATGCACCTTGAAAATGCTTGAAAAGTGCTTGAATTTGACTTTGGAAAAGGTGTAAGAACCCTGAATGTGGAACGAACCCGTTACATTTGTTTCATTCAGTAAGATAAAGTGGGCGCACAATAACAACAGGACGAGAGATGAGAAAAATCGGACATGGCAAAACAAGCTAAGCTTAAAAATTATTTCTTTAAACCAAGCAGGTCTAATGATGATAATACAGACAATGAGATGGCGATACCGCCTGCTGTCAATGAGACCGCAGATGCCTTGGCCCCGGACAGAAAAAAACAAAAATCCCGCGCGCTCAGACCCGAATGGAAAGATAAATTCACCTGGCTGAGGTGCGACATTATAGATGGGGAAGAAATTATGTTCTGCTCGCACTGCGAGAACTCGGGGAGAAAGAACGGGTTCACCAAAGGAGCAACAAATATGAGAACCTCTGCGCTTATTGAACACAGCCAGAGCAATGAGCACATTTTGTCATTGAACACAATACCACAACAAACCGCAATGAAAGGCCACTGTGAGAGGGTGAATGAAGCGTCCAACGTGAAGCTATGTTCTCAGCTAAAAGTAGTGTTTCACATGGCTAAAAACGACATTGCAGGTAATCAGTATGCAGGGTTGACTGAGTTACTACGAGAAGTGAAGGCTCCTGATTTTGTCACAGGTGATGGAATTTACCGGCACAGTGATTCCGTTGATGACATGGAAAAGGCCATAGATGAAGTCCTGATTAAGCAGCTGGACGAAAAACTAAAAAACAGTGACTTTATCGGAATAATCATTGACGAGACGTCAATGATAGCGTCTGGTGGCCGGGCTTGCCACGGAGCCCGGCCGGGCCCAGCCCGAAAAGGCAACGTGGGCAACACCTCCGCTTCTCCGTCCCGCGGGCCCACCACCTACGGGAAACATCGATGGGGTCGGGTGCGCTGCCAGAAGGGTGGCAGTGAAAGCGGAGGGTCTCGACGGACCAGACCCGGGCGACAGAAGCTGGCTTTGGGGACGTGGAACGTCACCTCTCTGGGGGGGAAGGAGCCGGAGCTTGTGCGGGAGGTGGAGCGTTACCAGTTGGATCTGGTTGGGCTCACCTCTACGCACAGCGTCGGCTCTGGAACCTTACTTCTGGATAGGGGTTGGACTCTATTCTTCTCCGGAGTTGCTCAAGGTGTGAGGCGCCGGGCGGGTGTGGGGATACTCACAAGTCCCTGGTTAGGTGCTTCGTTGTTGGAGTTTACCCCAGTGGACGAGAGGGTCGCCTCCCTACGCCTGCGGGTTATGGGGGGGAAAACTCTGACTGTTGTGTGTGCTTATGCACCCAACAGCAGTTCAGAGTATACGGCCTTCTTGGAGACCCTGGAAAGAGTCCTGTATGGGGCTCCTGAAGGGGACTCTTTAATCTTGCTGGGAGACTTCAACGCACATGTGGGCAATGATGGAGACACTTGGAGGGGCGTGATTGGGAGGAACGGCCCCCCTGATCTGAACCGGAGTGGTGGTTTGTTACTGGACTTCTGTGCTAGTCATGGATTGGCCATAACAAACACCATGTTCGAACATAAGGATGCTCATAAGTGTACGTGGTACCAGAGCACCCTAGGCAGAAGGTCCATGATCGATTTCGTTATCGTATCATCGGACCTGAGGCCGTATGTTTTGGACACTCGGGTAAAGAGAGGGGCGGAGTTGTCAACTGATCACCATCTGGTGGTGAGTTGGGTCGAGTGGCGGGGGAAGCCTCTGGATAGACCTGGTAAGCCCAAACGTGTAGTTCGGGTGAACTGGGAACGTCTGGAGGAGGCCCAAGTTCAGGAGGCCTTCAACTCACACCTCCGGCGGAGCTTTTCGGGCATTCCTGTGGAGGTTGGGGACATTGAACCAGAGTGGTCGGTGTTCAAAGCCTCTATTGCCGAAGCCGCGGCGGGGAGCTGTGGTCTCAAGGTCCTAGGTGCCTCAAGGGGCGGTAACCCTCGAACCTCCTGGTGGACACCGGTGGTCAGGGAAGCCGTCCGACTGAAGAAGGAGGCCTTCAGGGATTTGTTATCCCGGGGGACTCCCGAGGCAGTTGCAAGGTACCGACAGGCCCGAAGGGCAGCAGCCTCATCCGTGGCCGAGGCAAAGCAGCGGGTGTGGGAGAAGTTCGGAGAAGACATGGAGAAGGACTTTCGGGCGGCACCAAAGTTGTTCTGGAAAACTGTCCGACACCTCAGGAGGGGGAAGCATGGAACCATCCAAGCTGTGTACAGTAAGGATGGGACGTTGTTGACCTCAACTGATGGAGTGTTAGGGCGTTGGAAGGAACACTTTGAGGAACTCCTGAACCCGACAACTCCGCCCTCTATGTTAGAGGCAGAGCTGGAGTATGACGGGGGATCAACACCAATCTCCCGGGGGGAGGTCACTGAGGTCGTCAAACAACTCCACAGTGGCAAACCCCGGGGGTGGATGAGATCCGCCCGGAAATGCTGAAGGCTCTGGGTGTTGAGGGACTGTCATGGTTGACACGTCTCATCAACGTTGCGTGGAAGTCGGAAACAGTACCGAAGGAGTGGCAGACCGGGGTGGTGGTTCCCCTTTTTAAAAAGGGGGATCAGAGGGTGTATGCCAATTACAGAGGCATCACACTACTCAGCCTCCCCGGGAAAGTTTACTCTAAGGTACTCGAAAGGAGGGTCAGGCCGATTGTCGAACCTCAGATTGAGGAGGAACAATGCGGATTCCGTCCTGGTCGTGGAACGACGGATCAGCTTTTTACTCTCGCAAGGATCCTGGAGGGGGCCTGGGAGTACGCTTATCCAGTCTACATGTGTTTTGTAGACTTGGAGAAGGCGTATGACCGAGTTCCCAGGGAGTTACTGTGGGAGGGTGCTGCGGGAGTATGGGGTGAGGGGGGTCTCTACTCAGGGCCATCCAATCTCTGTACTCCCAAAGCGAGAGCTGTGTCCGGGTCCTCGGCAGTAAGTCGGACCCATTTCCGGTGAGGGTTGGCCTCCGCCAGGGCTGCGCTTTGTCACCAATCCTGTTTGTAATATACATGGATCGGATTTCGAGGCGTAGTCATGGGGGAGGGGGTCTGCAGTTCGGTGGACTAAGGATTGCACCACTGCTTTTTGCAGATGATGTGGTTCTAATGGCTTCATCGGTCTGCGACCTTCAGCACTCACTGGATCGGTTCGCAACCGAGTGTGAAGCGGCTGGGATGAGGATCAGCACCTCCAAATCTGAGGCCATGGTTCTCCGCAGGAAACCGATGGACTGTCCACTCCAAGTAGGGAATGAGTCCTTACCCCAAGTGAAGGAGTTCAAGTATCTCGGGGTCTTGTTCTCGAGTGAGGGAACAATGGAGCGTGAGATGGGCCGGAGAATCGGAGCAGCGGGAGCGGTACTGCAGTCGCTTTACCGCACCGTTGTGACGAAAAGGGAGCTGAGCCAGAAGGCAAAGCTCTCTGTCTTCCGGGCCATTTTTGTTCCTACCCTCACCTATGGTCATGAAGGATGGGTCATGACCGAAAGAACGAGATCGCGGATACAAGCGGCCGAGATGGGTTTTCTCCGCAGGGTGGCTGGTGTCTCCCTTAGGGATATGGTGAGAAGTTCGGTCATCAGGGAGGGACTCGGAGTTGAGCCGCTCCTCCTTCGCGTCGAAAGGAGCCAGTTGAGGTGGTTCGGGCACCTAGTTAGGATGCCACCTGGGCGCCTCCCTAGGGAGGTGTTCCAGGCACGTCCAGCTGGGAAGAGACCAAGGGGTAGACCTAGGACCAGGTGGAGGGATTATATCTCTTCGCTGGCCTGGGAGCGCCTTGGGATCCCCCAGTCAGAGCTGGTTGATGTCGCCAGGGAAAAGAAAGTTTGGGGCTCTCTGCTGGAACTGCTACCCCCGCGACCCGACCACGGATAAGCGGGAGAAGATGGATGGACAAAAAGCTGATAATATACGCCAAGTTGCAAATTAAAGGAAAAGTGGAGACGTGTTTTTTGGGAAACTATGATGTGCTCTCCGGGACAGCACAGTGTATATTTGACAAGGTGGATGAGGTGCTCCGCGAGAGGGATGTGAAACTGTCAAGCGTCATTGGCCTGGGCTCAGACGGGCAGTGGCGACTGGTCATTAGGGGCAGGTGGGGCACAGCCCCACCTAGTGTCAGCAGAAAGTATTAAAAAAAAATTAAAATATATATTAAATATATTTTAAGATCATGTTTAATCATCTGATTCGTCTGTACATTGCTGTTTTAGTCAGTGTTCTTCTAATTAGTGTCTACAGTGTGTGCCTATTGAGCTGTTTAGAGCTGTGTGGGACAGAACCCGATCCTGCCCCTCCCTCTCCCTGTTTAAGTCAATGGTGACTGTAAAAACTACACTGCGCATGCTCAGAATATTTTCCTATTTAATGTGTGTGGCAAAAAAATAATGACCATAGGGGCATAGAGCTGCCATCCCCACCATACGTCATCTCACATCATTCAGAGCTGATTGGCTGTAAGTACGTGTGCCGCGAAAAGTGTGGTGTGTGAAGAGGAGACGAGAGAGCTGCAGTGACGCGTCCTAAAACCCGGAAGTAAACTGCGCATGGCTTCCCTCGACAAAAAAGCAATGATATTTCTCCATAGGATTTTAGAAAATATCTCAAAATAAGATCTGTGGGAAACAAACCTGTTAGATAAATGCACGTTTTGTTCAGCCGGATAATATCCACATGTCTACCATACTTTTATAATTTTTGAATCATAAATATATCGATTAGATTTATGATAGACTTTTGAAACTACAAGAAGATAAGGAGGACTTTTACAAAAAAGTAATAGAGATTTTTGTTCAGAAGGATAGGCAAATGGACTTCATCTTCAAGTCAAGGTAAGACCGCAATTTTATTGAAAATAAGAGAGAACAATTCAATATTTAAATGATAACATTACATCTTTTGGGTATCCTTTTGTTGAACTGTCTGTTTAAAATTAATTGAAGCATCAGATTAAAAAAAGCTTTTGAAAATAATATTATATTTTGATTTAGGTCAAAATATAATATTTGTAAACCTGAAGAGTCAGTGCCAGTGCCTCACCAGCCATGAACCTCATTGCAGAAGCTTATATATAGACATCTACGTTTTTTGTGCCCCACCACTTTTGTACATATAAAAACGCCACTGCAGACGGGGCTAGTGTAATGATGGGCAAACGTGCTGGAGTTGGTGCTCTTCTGAAGAGAGAGAGTGCGTTTTGTATTCAGGTGCACTGTGTTGCCCACCGAGCTGCGCTGGCCGCGCTAGATGCTGCAAAAGCTGTGGACCAAGTAGGAGTTTACAAGCGCACAGTATCCTCTGTGTACTCATTTTACAAGCACTCAGCCAGCAGGACCAATCGCCTTCGTCAAATGACAGCAACGCTCGGGATGAAGATGTGAAAAGCCTAAAGCAGCAGTGCACTGTCCGCTGGTTATCCTTGCACAGGGCAGTGGAGGGTATCAAGCTAAACTGGCCTGCTCTGGTGAAGGAGCTACATGAAGAGGCTGTTGGAGGAAATGCCCAAGCAAAAGGCATCCTTGGTCAAATCCAGCCATACTGCTTTATCGCCTGGACTCACGCACTGGCTGATGTGCTACCTGTTATGACCAAACTGAATTTGGTTTTCCAGAAAGAGGATGTCAATCTGGCCACAATCCGACCAATGGTTCACGCATCAGTTGCGGCACTCACACAGTTGAGGGATTCCCCCGGTCCCGAAGAAGAGAGATTTCAGGCAGATTGCCAAAATGGCATGTACAGGGATGTGAATGTGACACACGCAGATGACCGGTCCCGGCAGGCTTTCAGTAATGTCCGCGTACGCTACATTACACATCTTATAGATGCTTTACACAACCGCTTTCCTGAAGAGTCCCTGAGTATTATCACTTGCTTTGACGTCCTTCTGAACCCATCCCGATACCCAGATGCACAAAGTGGTAAGTAGGCCTTCCTGAAATGGTGTCACAAGTTATTTAAATGTGTTTATTTGCGTTACATAAAACAATACATTATTTCTCCGTCCCTTCAGCTCTTCAAATATACGCTGAACCAGCCCTCAGAACCATTATTGGTCATTTTGGCCAAGGGATTGCCAGCGAGGATGACTCAGCGCAAGCCAGTGCCCCTCTCATTGATGCCACAAGCGCCCACAGAGATGCCATCCCCGTGATGACAGCACTCCGCGGATACGGAGGCTTGCATTTCTTACCGGCTTGCGAAGTCCTCGTAAGAGATTTAGGCAACATCTATCCTGAGTGGGCCACACTGGCCAAGATAGCATGCGTGTTCCCAGTCTCCAGTGTGCCGGCAGAGAGAGGATTCTCTCTACAGAACAGAATCAAAACAGCGCAGCGAAGTCGGCTCGGCGAGAACAAGGTCACACGGCTCATGCGCATTGCCAGTTGTGGAGAGACACTCGGGACCTTTGATTTTAAATCCGCAGCTACCCACTTCACAGGTCTGAAACAGCGCAGAAAGTAGGCTAAAACATCATAAGCTAGGCATTTTGCTCTAGTTTTGTCAAAGAGTTTGTGTTACAATTTGTTTAAAGGCTATTTGATAACAAGTCGGCAGCTGCAAGCTTTTATTAAAATGCTCACGACAGGCCTATACTCTTTTAGTTTGTGAACAAATAATAATCGTTATGTTTTATTTTATCCGACTATATGTAGGCCTAAAGCTGAAGAACATGGGTTTTTTGTTTATTTTATTATGGCTTGCGTAATATAGGCTATATTTATTTATTTTCCGTTACGCACGATATCGGCAGAACTTGTTTGAACTTTTATTAAAAGTAACTTTTCAATAAAAGATACATCTGAATGCCTTGATTATTTCATCCTTAATATATAGAGTTGTTGTCAATTTGTTTTAAAGCTCAATAAATAACAAAGACCTTTGACCGGGAAATTTCCAATTTGTCCGGAAGATTTAAATCCTAACGGACAGGGTGACCGGCACACATTTTTTCTAACGGGAACTCTGGCATGCGCATATCGCGGTTATCGCCATGACACGGTATATCGTTCAGCCCTAAAAGGCAGCTCATTGTGGAATAGCCTCCCAACTGAGATACGGGATTGTCCCACTCTCAATAGTTTTAAAGGTCACCTCAAAGAATGGTTAAGAAACAAACAGACGTGCAATCACCGCTAAATGCACTTTAATACAGGGGTATCTCATCTTGCACTTTATGTAGCTCTTTTTTTGCACTTTTATCTCCTCCTGCACTTTATATGTCGTAGCTGCTATATTGTACTGCCTTGTGGCAGAGATGGGGACTCGAGTCTGCGACTCGGACTCGAGTCGCACTTAAGTCGCACACAGAGACTTCAGACTTGACTTGGACTCCTGCTCAAAAGACTTTGGACTCGACTTGGACTCGTGTTTTGGGACTCGTGAACAATCATTGTGTTTTCTATTTTTGGCGTATTAAATGTGGGGTAGGTAAGTTTGAGAAACCGGCTCGAGATCGCTAGAATTTGAAAATACACAACCGGAGAAAATCTGCCACTTCCTCACAGAGCCCCTCCTCCAACACACACGAACGCACACATGACCAATGAGGGCACGAGATAAGTTTGTGCCCCGATGGGAGGCTGACAGGCAGGTAGGCCATCCAGTTATTTTAGCCGGGCCGGCTATCGGGATGTTAAGAGCATTCCATGGAATATAACAAAAAGTGTATCTCGAGCCGGTTTCTCAAACTTACCTACCCCACCTTTAACATTAATATTAACATCATGGTAACACCATGGCGACCGGCGGCACACCTGCAGCTGTACCGCTTGTAATTAGGTTCAACTATAAAAACTTCGAACAAAACGCCGGCGGCACCAACAAAAGGAGCGCACACTACAAAGTCTGCAATATTAAAATCAAGGATGCTGGTGCAACAACGTCAAATTTCATCAGGCACTTGAAAACTCACCCGGAGAGGTCAGTCACATTAACGCATATGGACGGTTAGCAAACATGTTTAGCTCAGCATCAGCTATGTAATGTTAACTTGAAACTGAATATTTGAAAAGATGAGTGAATGTTTGCTTGTCACACTTGTTTGCGTTGAGTGGCGTTGACATCCAACTCTTGACATGACATAAAAAAGGTCGGTAACGTTAATCATTACGTTCCGCTGCCACCATCTACTGGCTAACATTAAACGTAGAAAAATACATAGTTACATACATAAATACACCTGTCGGTTTATAGGCAGGTTACAGGTTTATTGTTGACCACGTAACGTTAATGTTAAAGGTTTATCAGGTTACCATTACACTGGGTTTGAGTGAGAGGATAGAGGAATATGTTTATTTATAGTAGACTTCAAATATGTAATTAGAGACCCAGTGTAATTAAACAATACGGTTGCAGAGGTCAAATTTTAACATTTTTGTCCACTGGCCAAATGGCTAGCCTAGTGAATGTTGAAATTTTACCAGCCACTCAATAGATTGCCATTGTTATTTTTGGCTGGTGCGTGCAACATACAGTAGGCCTACCAGCCACTTGCATGATTTACCAGCATTTGGCTGGTAAATGGTGTTAATGGTAGATATCTCTTTTGGAACAGGTCATGTTTTAATATCACCAGTTCAGTATATTTCAGATAATATTGCAGCAATAGTTTTTTAGTTGCAAATGGCACAGAACAAATGTTTACTTTTAAGTACTTTTAACAGTTTCCCTGCGGAGGATTAATAAAGTATTTGTGATACTGATTTCTGATTCTGAAGTGTTTTGCTTATAAGTTGTTTGCATTTAGCTAAACTGTGATGTTTTTCCTCATATTGCATTGCAATAGCCTGTTTAAAGTGATCATATAACAAACAACTAATCAGTACTGATACTGTATGCTAATAGATATAGGAGTGATAATAATACAGTAAATGCTTTGAATTTCTTAGATATAGCTGTGCAGTATTCTTAACAGACTGGATAGCAGCAGACAATAGAAGGCTTATTACAACCAGAAGAGACATGAGACTTTTATTTTTTAGAGACTTGAGACTTGACTTGGACTCGTGACCAAAGACTTGAGACTTGATCAAGTCTCACCCCACAAAGACTTGAGACTTGACTTGGACTCGTGACCAAAGACTTGAGACTTGACTTGGACTTGCAAAAAGAGACTTGTGAACATCTCTGCCTTGTGGTAAATGTTTGTATGCTGCTCATGCTCTTTCTGCATATCTTGTATTTCTGTTTGCCATGTATATAAATGTTATGTTCATAAATGTTGTATGTGATGGCACTACGGATAGAAATTAGCTCAAAGCTCAAATCCAGCTCATTTACATTTGAAAGCATTATTTTGTTTAAAATGTTCATTAATGTGCTGTCCCAGTTCAAATAAACGATAAAATAATGTGAGGTTCAATTTTCACTTTGTTTTTTCTTCTTCTTTATTTATGGTCATATAAAAAATTATTCAAAATATGACCAGACGAACCAAAAACAGGTAAAAATAGAAAAATGTAATATAATGGTTTAGGTCGAAGGTTTAAGACAAACAACAGATCAAACTTTTATTATAAATCAAACTTTTATTATAAAGAAAACGTTTCATCGTCCTCAATCTATCCCTTCAATAGGCACGTTCACACCTCAGTACTTTTCCCACTTTAGTTCCGATATAGTTCCGAAATGTCGCATTCACACCAAAAAAATCCGGAACTAAAATTAGTTCATGAGAACCTTTTTACCCCCTTTCCGTCCCTGCTAGAGAGCAGGGACTTTCGTGGGAGAAAAAGGTTCATATTTCTGCTTCAGTAGAAGCTGCTGGGAGTCCCAGCAGTAGAAGCCAGTCCCCAACTCCGGGGACTTCCGGCCGGGGACTTCGGGTATATACGCCGTGAAGTTGTTTGCGGCCTGCCAGTAAACCCAAAGCAGAAGAAGAAGAAGAAGTGACGTCAGCGGCTTCATTTGCCTAATCCACCCCCAGGGATTTATTCCGGTGTGAACACGATCTGTACTTAGTTCATGAGAACTAAAGAGTTCTGATGAACCTTTGTGGGAAAAGTACTGCGGTGTGAAAGCGCCTAATCCCATCTCTCCATGTATCCTTTACTGTCCTCTCTGCTCTTCTCAGCTAAAAGAACCAAACACATGCTTCCTGTACTCATTCGCAAGGATAGTGAGACATCGGTAGTGAGACCCGTGCTGCATTTTCCTCCGGTCGGATGTGATATAAAAACAAAGCGATTATTTTTGTTGTTGTAAACTCACGTGGATTAAATGTAGTGCATTCATTTCAACTCACTTCAATGATCACTTCCCGAAGAGATCATTACATGGCTGAACACGCGCGCCAGACATACACACCTGTCGCTGCTGTGTGGAGGAGATTTCGCAACGGAGGAGTCCCGCAGCTGAAGGCCGCCATCCGCTGGGGAGACCTGCACAGCTGTTTTCTGCTTCTGCCGGTGCGGAGGCCTGATCGGGGGATATCGCGGAGAAACCGGAGTGTTGCCACACTGCTGGTTGCCTATTCCTTGCTGCTGTCCGTGGTTTTGTTTCGGGAACTTCGTGGATGCTGTTGTGCTGAACTGGGAAAATGGCAAATGTCGTGTTTCTGCTGTGCCTTTTTTTGACTGTACTGGACAATGAGAAGATCGGTAGTCATCCTGAAAAATCTGCTGGATTCGGGTCTGTTCTGTCGCCGGCAGTGGACATCCCCTGTACAGGTTCGGATGGGTTGCACAAACATTTGCTGGTTGCACTGTCGCGGACATTCATCTCGTCAAATGTCTGTCTTTCTCACTTGCCTGCCACGATGGTCCTTCAGAATTGTTTTTTGAACTCTAATCTCACTTTCGCGAAGTTTTCTGGTGACTCTAAAACAGTTGACTATGTTTGTGTGTTGATTAAGAGGAAAAGGTGCTTGGTATTTTTATTGTTGTTGCTATCGGGGAATGTACAGCCAAATCCGGGTCCACCTAGTACTTTTAGTCAAATAGCTACTCCTGCTGATTTTATTTCTAGATCGGGGTTAGGTTTAATTCATTTAAATGTGCGTAGTCTGTTACCTAAATTAGATTTTGTCCGTATTTGGGCGAGTTCAACTGATGCTGATGTCATTGTCTTATCAGAAACGTGGCTTGACAAATCCATCCTGGACTCTGACATTTACATAAATGGTTACAATGTATATCGCACTGACCGTCCTAAAAAAGGTGGTGGCGTTGCCATTTATGTGAAAAATAAGTTTTGTGTAACAAATATGGTTTCCAAATCGGTTAGTAAACAACTGGAATTTTTAGCTGTGAATGTCGAAGTCACAATGGGTCAACAGGTCATGGTGGTGGGTTGCTACAGACCCCCCTCAGCTGTCAAGGACTCCTTATCTTCACTGGCAAAACTGTTATCTCAACTTTCCTACAAGGAAATAGTGCTGCTTGGTGATTTTAATTGGGACTGGTTAACTTCTGTGTCAGAGGACTTTAAAAACCTGTGTACCTCTTTGAACATTACTCAGATTGTAGATAGTCCTACTCGCCCAAACATTAAGTCCCCAAATAAATCCTCCTTAATTGATCTCATTTTAACAAATGTGCCACATAAATACTCATCTGTGGGAGTATTTGCTAATGATGTGAGTGACCACTGTGTTGTAGCCACAATTAGGGACACTAAGATCCAAAAAGTGAAACCACGCATTATCACAAGGAGAGATAAAAAACACTTTGTGGAGCAGGGTTTTTTACACGATCTGTTTGATTTTGATTGGGGTAAGATCAATCTGTGTGCGGATGTAGAAACTGCATGGTCTTATTTTTATCTTGGTTTTATGAAAATTATAGATAAACATGCACCTCTGCGTAAATTCAGAGTGAAGGGTCGAGACAATCCCTGGTTTTCCGCTGAACTGTCCAGTCTCCTTCATGAGAGAAACAATGCCTGGGCTAAGGCTAGGAAATCAGGCTCAGAGGTAGAATGGCTACGCTTTAGGCAGCTAAGAAATAGCTTCACATCACAAATAAAAAGTGCTAAATCAAAGTTCTATTTGTCAGTTACCACAGAAAATCTGAATAATCCTAGGAAATTTTGGAAAGCCATAAAATCGATTTCCACTGGTGATATTCCAAATGAGCTACCTCCATGCCTTACCACAGAATCTGGCATTATATCAGACAGGGCTACTATGCTCAATTGTTTTAATAAGCATTTTGTGTCTTGTAGCTCGCTGTTTGATTCTGTCACTGACTGTGCTTCTGCTTCTGTGAACGCTCCAATCCTTGAACAATGTGGTCTGGAAAACCCTTTCAGTTTTACCCCTTTTACTGTTGGTGTTGTCCATGATGTTTTATCCAAGTTAGATCCTAGGAAACCGGCTGGCCCGGACAACCTAGAACCTTTCTTTTTAAAGATAGCTGTAGATTTTATTGCTCCACCGCTTACTTCTCTTTTTAACCTCTCCCTTAGCACAAATACAATTCCTAAAGTATGGAAGTCTGCTTATGTCTTGCCTTTACTGAAAGGAGGGGAGGCAACTATTTTAAATAACTATAGGCCAATCTCGAAATTGTCAGTTCTGGCTAAAGTGCTTGAACGACTAGTGAGTGAGCAAGTAAAGGACTTTTTATGTATAAATGATATCCTGTCGAAACATCAGTCGGGCTTCAGGAAAAAAACATAGCACCATCACTGCCACAATGAAAGTTGTAAATGACATCACTAGTTTTTTAGATAATAAGCAGAGTTGTGCAGCTCTGTTTATTGATCTCTCTAAAGCGTTTGACACCGTTGATCATCGCATTTTAAAACAGAGGCTACTCAGCATTGGCTTGTCCAGCCTTGCAGTGGGGTGGTTTGTGAACTACCTCTCTGAAAGGTCCCAATGTGTACACTTTGATGGGCTCACTTCTGAGTGGTTGAGCATTTCTAATGGTGTACCTCAGGGTTCTGTTCTAGGTCCACTTTTATTCTCCATTTATATTAATAGCTTGGGTGATAATATGGAGGAAGCTACCTTACATTTTTATGCGGATGATACTGTGATGTATTGTGCAGGTACCTCAGTTAAGGAGGCTGTTGTTAAATTACAGACTGTTTTTAACACTGTTCAGACTCAGCTCTCAGCGCTTAAGCTTCTTTTAAATGTGGATAAAACCAAGTTAATGCTCTTTTCAAAAGCTAAAAAGTCACCAGAGCCTGTTTTAGATATTGTAACCATGCAAGGAAAAAAACTTGAAGTGGTAACCTCTTACAAATACCTTGGTATCTGGCTTGATGATTCTTTTAAACTGCATGTAAATAACCTGCTTAAAAAACTGAGGGTTAGGCTAGTTTTTTTTTATAGAAACAAGTCCTGTTTCTCTCTTGAGGCCAGGAAAAGGCTAGTCACTGTGACCTTTTTACCTGTGCTGGACTATGGTGATCTATTTTATATGAATGCGCCGGCCAATTACCTCACCAAGATAGATGCCGCCTATCATAGTGCACTAAGGTTTGTGACAGACTGTAAGACTTTGACTCATCATTGTACCCTGTATACAAGGGCAGGGTTGCTTTCACTTACTGTATGGCGGCTAAATCACTGGTATCTTTTTATTTATAAAGCAATGTTAGGGAAACTTCCGTCTTACATCTGTTCCCTGATCTCACAGCGTATTGTAAATGGCTACTGCCTGAGATCTAAAGCTGTGGTTGTATTACATGTGCCAACTGCTAGGACTGTATTAGGAAATACAGCTTTTAGATGCGCAGCGCCGCTAGCATGGAACAGTCTACAAAAGGAATGGAAGCTAAGCAGTTTGATTCCATTTCATGTTTTTAAAGCTAGGATAGACGCTATACAATCAGAAAATATTGGTGTCTGTAAATGCTACTAGTATACAAACTGTAGTATCATATAATGTCCTTTGTTTTCTGTCATGTTTGTATTAATGTTTGGAACTAATTGAAGCAGTGGGTTTTATCTGTATAAATAAAGGTTTTGAATTGAATTGAATTGAATAAACTCCTGGCAAATCTTTTCCCTGCTGACTTTATCCAGCAACTCCTTGTGAATGTGACTGCTACATTGTTAATGCAAATTTGCAACATTGTACTTCTCAGCCAGGTCTTCAACCTCCTCTGAGCACTGAAGCTCCTCTCTGCTTCAGCAGAGACTGCAGGAACAACCATAAGAAGCCGTATATAAGGGGTTATACTTGGTCGAAAAAGCCACAGACTTCAGGCAACTGACTCCTCAAAATAGCTGCGTCCTCTGAAGTGGATTTGAAAGGGTACTGGAGCTTAAACATGTCAAGCTGCACCTTCAGTGACCTTTGGTTTGATTCAGGATACTGGTCCACCACTGCGGTGTCCAGCTCCCCAGTTAGGAGGACTTCCTCCAGCTTTGCCAATATTGTCAGACCACTCTGATGAAACCTCTCCTTCAGCTGCATGTCCACAGTATCCATCACCTTGAAGAAGTCAGCTCTGTAGTGTTTTTCTGGGGTTGTGGGTGTGTGTGCAGTAGTGTCGTTGCCAATAAAGCGTTTTGGTGCACGGCGGATGTGTGGCATGCTTATTGGCTCAATATTTAGCATGCAGATCTTCTCTGTCGCTCGGCTGTAAATCTCCTGGAACTTCTCTTCCATTCTCTTTGCCCTCAGGGTGGTCCTAACACAATTTGCTGCAGATAGCATACCAGACACGGTTTCTGTCTGCTTCTGCAGTGTGCAATTAAGGCACTCCAACTCCTGAATTACTTCAGTGGCTAGAATGAGTCCTAACACTGTCGTACCTTTTCCGAATCTCTCCAGCAACCCTCTTGCAGTCACACCAGTGTTTGGGGCATCTGTTTGGGCCATGTCCTCTAAGCTCAGTAGCACTGACTCATACTGACGTAGCACAGACCAGATTGCTGGAGTCCTGGTGGTCCATCTTGTTTGACACAAGGGCCCCAGATTGCTAACTGTCCCTGATGCTGCTGTTGCAATGTTCACACATTTAGTTTTGTATTTGCCTGACAATTTGTACAGACATCCAAGCTTGTGGAGCCAATCCAGAGCATCAGATGTTAGGGAAGAAGCCTTACAAGCAGCCTGGGTGACAAGATTTACACAGTGGGCAACACAGTGTACATACAAAGCCAGTGGCTGCATCTCCCTTATCCTGGCCTGTGCTCCCTTTCTGTCGCCTGACATGTTTGCTGCCCCATCATATGTTTGTCCACGCAGACCAGACAGCGGAAGATTCAAGCGCAGCAACACATCTGTGGCAACTTTTGCTAAGTTTTCCCCAGTTGTGCTTGAGACCTCGTAAAAACCCACTAAGGCCTCCTGGGGGACCAAATCATGGTCTACATACCTCACACAAATGGCTTCCTGTTCAGTCCCTTCTATGTCCTGTGTTCCATCAATAAGAATAGAATACTGGAGAGGCAACTTGTAAATTGAGCTAATGATTTCCCTAATTATGGTGTTTGCAAATATATTTAACATTTCATTCTGGATTTGGGGGGGGATGTGAAATCATGTGTTCTTGTTGACAGCCATCTCTCTACGCCAGGGTCATCTTCAGATCTTACTTTGAGTAACTGGCTCAAGTTTCCTTCTTCAGCTGCATGGCCCCTAAGAGCAGCTCCCTGCCAAGAGCTGTATGGAGCTCACAATTTTTAATAGACACCGTCTTGATTCCTGCTGCTGTGCATAACTGGACATTGACTGGTTTAGTTTGTTGGCAGTGGGTAGTGACAGCAACTTTGTGTGCATTGCTTTGGCCATGTTCTGCACATTTTTTAGTTGACTTTTTCCAGTTTCGGAAACCAGTTTTGCAAAAGGTCTGTTCTGCATTCTTGGCCAATTTGATCTACCGTGCCCAAAAACTTGAGCACAGAAAAAACACAACGTTCCATTGACTCCTGGACTGTAGTGGAGCCAAGGAAATTCATGGTACCACTTTTCTTGGAATCGTAACATTTTGTTGATAAGCTGCTGCACTACAATGAGCATGGTCAGCATGGTTTGGTTCAGCTTTCTGCTTGCCTGCCTGCACTTCTCTCCTCATGTCTGTCTCCTCAGGTCTCTCCTATAATATACGACAATATGCTAGCCTGTTGCTGACATGAGACATCATTGAAAATACCAAATTACCTGGCCCTTTATACAGCACTTACCTGCAACTCTAAACTGCTTCTTGCTGTCTCACCATCCCTGTCTTGAAGCACCTCCAGCTCATCTGATCTCTGATATGAAAGCATGACACAAACAGATATAGAACACTGCTGGGAAATCATGTTGGTTGTATTATTACTAGTAGTGCACTCAGTTTTGTGAGCAACTAAGTATTTGTTCTGCTTTACATTACAACACTTTAAATCAGTGGTTCTCAACTGGTGGGTCGCGGACCCGTTTCGAGTGGGTCGCAGAGTCGTGTGCAGGTTGTGGAAAAAAGTCAAACTTTTATTTTGAAGGCCCGACTTTCTAACGCTGTGCATGCAGTAGGCGTGCATTGGACTGGAAGTACGGGAGACCATAAACGGTTTTGAAAACTTCTGTCACGTAGTGATCATCTTCTCAATAAAACATCTTTGCTGATGTTTTTTTCGATTCTTCTGGCCAATCAGAATCAAGATTGTTGTCGGAAGTCCCCACGGAGAATAACTTTGCAGTATAACTATTCTTTATACATCCATGGGTACAACTTCAGATACAAATTAACACATAATGAAATATGACATCCGGTTTGATGATTGACAGGTCACAGAACAATGGGGGCTATCTACCCTTACCCACAATTTAAAGTAATTCAGACTCTCTCCTCTTTGCTCTTCTCTCTGTGAGGAGCAGCAAGTTCAGCTGTCGGAACAAAGTGAAAAACAAACAATGGCATAAAATATTATTAATATGTCGGGTAGTAATACATCTATATATTTTCTTCTCAGAGTGTACCAGAATGGGTAGTTTATATGTTAGTATTTCTAAAATTCTCCTGGGGGAGAATCTCCCCAGACCCCCTTCTGGGGTTGGGTTTTCAGCATGTGCCTTTTTATGTTATTCAGTTCAGCTTTGATTATATCATCTCATTAAACCTTATTTAAAAGCATTATTTTGTTCTGTGAAGGGATATATGCACTGTACTTCACTTTAATTAATATTGTATGCTGAAAAGTGTATATATTACAGCACGATTTTTTTTTTAATAGATTTGAGTGGTTAAAAATGTCGGATCGCGATCTATTGACAAAGGAAAAAGTGGGTCCCGAGGCCTGACCAGTTGAGAACCACTGCTATCAGAAGTGAATACAGTATGAATAACATTTAAAGTTTAAATGTTATTCATACTGTATTCACTTCTGATACACTTCTTCCTCTCATCTCAAATTTAAATCACCTGACTACAGCACTTAACATACCTGCTGCAACTCTGTGCTGCTGCTGCTTCTATCTGCCTCATCCTCTGTGTCTTGAGGCAGCTCCACCTCATCTGATCCCTGATAAGAAAGCAATGGTGTTATAATCATATTGAGCCATTGGTATTGACAAGACCAAGACCGGACAATCAGAATACCTTTATTAGCCCCACAGAGGGGAAATGTGCATCGTTACAGCAGGAAAGAGCCACAGACAGCTTAATGTTACATTATGTTAAACAAAAAGTACTAAGTTATGATATAATAAAAATATAATAACAAAAATAAAAGTAAAATAAATACTTTTCAAAATACAAATCCTGTAACAGTTCTTAGGATTTAGCAGCCAGGTATATATTACACAGTTATTAATGGCATATGTTGTATATATTGCACATGTAACGGGTCACAACTGTAAGCGACCTGTTATCGATCAGGACAGCAAAGCATCTGGTTGTCTTTTCTGGCATTTATTCTGAGAACAAAAATAATATTCTCTTTGCATCCGCGTTGCACATCCTCAGCAGTGATCACTTCAATGTCTTCTAGTATTTATTTATACATTGAGAAATTATTAAATTACCAAGAAAATCTTATTTTTAAGTAATAATGCAAAATACCAACATACCTGAGAAAATAAATAATATTCTCTTTGCATCCGCGTTGCACATCTTTACAAAAGAAAGAAAGAAAACTCAGAAAGTGTTGACATGTAAACAAAGAAAATGACGCAGATCGCGTCTATTTCCCGCCAAAACCACACCGTAGATATCACTCAAAAATACAATTTCTTACTGTGGAAACTTAACAAAAATGGGTTAATAATATACCCAAATTGACACTTAACAACATACGTCACTTTCATAAACTTAAATAGCCGGTTTACCACACAAAATTGTAATGAACTATAACACAATTCCTAGCACAGCTTACCCTCAGCAGTGATCACTTCAATGTGAGGGGAAAGCGGAAATGACATTCAGGAAATGGGAAAAGATGTGCAACGGGAAAGTGTTCCCACCAGAAACATAACTCAAAAACATCAAAAGGAAACAATCTCATAAAAATAAAATTCACAACCTATTATAAATCGTAATTTATAACTAATAATTATGTCTACACATTTTTAACTCCGTTACACACATATATAACATATTGCACATAGTTTGATGGTATTTAACAGCAGCAAGTTACACAATTTACAAAATGCAAAAAAAACACCTTGTTGTGGTGACACGTTATTGGACATAATTCACCTTGCTTATTGTGTTGCCACACGGACCCTTTAGTGGGGAACACCTGTAGCTTTAGCTGCCATTCCTGCTAGCTCATCAGGCAGAGCAGTGCATGTATTAACCTCTCTGAAAGTAATGGATAATAAAGATTGGAACTCCATTCTTAATACACCGCCTCCGACTCTCTTTTCACAGCACTACACTGGTGACCCCGACTTTTCCGAGAAAGTTTCCGGAAAATTAACGAACATGGCTGAGCGCGATGTTTTCATAAAGCTGCCGGAATTCTGGGAGCACGCCGCGGAGGCATGGTTCGCACACGTGGAGGCACATTTCGCCTGCCGACAGGTCCGTGACGGGGACCTAAAATACTACCATGTGGTAGCAGCGCTGGGGAGCTCCACGTCGTCCAGGTTGGTGGGATTCATCGCAGCCCCCCCACATCATGGCAAATATGAGGCGATTAAGGCCCTTCTCCTTAAGACATTTAGCTTATCTGCTAAGGAGAGGGCCCGCCAGATACTTGACATTCAAGGCCTAGGAGACAGCAAGCCATCCCAGCTAATGGAGAAAATGCTAAATCTGCTAGGGGGGGAAGATCCCCGGATTTTATTCACGGAGATTTTCCTGCGTCACTTGCCTCCCCGGGTACAGACGGCGCTGGCCAACACGCCTGTCACGGAGCCCCGTGCTTTGGCTGAGGAAGCGGATCGTTTTTTCCTGGCTACGCAACAGCCCGGGGCAGAGACGTTAGCCGCGACGCTCAGCGGCCCACCGGCAGTCAAGAAAGCGTGGCGGAGGCCGGACACGGCTGTGGCTAGCCGGCGTGGAGACGCCGGAGAGTGCGTTTACCACGCACGTTTCGGGACAAGGGCGAAGAGATGCATCGCTCCGTGCAGCTACAAACCCCCGGGAAATGGAGGGGCCGGCGCTCAGTAGTGGCTCTGAGCGTCGGCGGCACGTGCAGGCTCCTCTTCGTCAGCGACAGCGTTTCGGGGAGCTTGTTTCTGTGTGACACGGGCGCTCAACAGAGCGTAGTTCCAGCGTCGAGTGAAGACGTCGCCCGTGGGGGGCACAGACCGCGATTGACGACGGCTAACGGCAGTCCCATTCGCACGTACGGCGTGAGGCCTATGTGTTTGTGCATCGGAGGACAGCGTTTCAGCTGGGATTTTGTGACAGCGGACATTTATTTTCCCCTCCTCGGAGCGGATTTTTTGTGTGCTCATGGACTCTTAGTGGACGTTAAGAATAGGCGTTTGGTTGATGCCTTAACGTTTTCTTCCCTCGTGTGCACACTTGGCAGACGGGCTGTCAGGCTCGCTGTCAGGTGCAGACACGTTTCTCAGACTGTTGGCTGAGTTTCCAGACCTGTCGCTACCCACCTTCTCTGCGCTTACCACTAAGCATGGCGTGGAACACCACGTCACTACCGGGGGGCCTCCTGTCTACGCCAGGGCCCGGCGGTTGAACCCTTCTAAGCTGGCTGTAGCGAGGGCGGAGTTCGCAACCATGGAGCGCCTGGGCATTGTCCGCCGCTCCGACAGTCCTTGGGCTTCCCCCCTGCACGTCGTTCCCAAATCGAACGGCGGGTTCCGCCCGTGCGGGGATTACCGCCGACTCAACGACGCCACTACGCCTGACCGCTATCCGGTGCCGCACATTCAGGACTTTTCGGCGCATCTGGCCGGTACGGGGGTGTTTTCCAAGGTGGACCTGGTGCGTGGATACCACCAGGTGCCCATGCACCCCCTGGACATTCCCAAGACAGCAGTGATAACGCCTTTTGGACTTTTTGAGTTCCTGCGGATGCCTTTTGGACTCAAGAATGCCGCTCAGACGTTCCAGCGCCTGATGGATTCGGTGCTGCGGGACCTGCCGTTTGTGTTTGTTTACCTCGACGACATACTCGTCGCCAGCGCTTCAGTGCAGGAGCACCTGTCCCACCTCCGAGCCCTTTTCACACGGCTCAACGAACACGGATTAATCATCAATCCTGCAAAGTGCCAGTTCGGGGTGTCGGACATCGATTTCCTGGGGCACCGCGTCACCAAGGGCGGTGCGACACCTCTGCCAGCGAAGGTGGAGGCTGTTGCGGCGTTTCCTCGCCCGCACACAGCCCGGTCGCTCCGTGAGTTTCTGGGGATGGTGACTTTCTACCACCGTTTCATCGCCCGGGCCGCACACATCATGCGGCCGCTGTATGAAGCGTTGAAAGGCAAGACCCCCGTCCAGGAGATCGACTGGACAGCAGAGGCGGACGGCGCTTTTGCTGAGGTCAAGACCGCGTTGGCTCAGGCGGCTTTGCTGGCACACCCATCATCTACGGCTCCCATCTCCATCACCACGGACGCGTCAGACTACGCGGTCGGCGCAGTGCACGAGCAGTGGGTGGAGGGCGCTTGGCAGCCGCTCGCCTTTTTCAGCCGCCAGCTGACGCCTAGAGAACGCAAATACAGCGCCTTTGACCGGGAGCTCCTCGGACTTTATTTGGCCGTGCGGCACTTCCGTTTCATGCTGGAAGGCCGTGAATTTACGGCGTTTGTCGACCACAAGCCGCTCACCTTCGCCATGTCAAAAGTGGCGGAGCCTTGGTCAGCACGTCAGCAGCGGCAGCTGTCCTACATATCGGAGTTCACTACGGACATTAAGCACGTGGCTGGCAAGTCGAACCTGGTTGCTGATTGCCTCTCCAGGGTCGTCATCGGTGCCGTCCAGTTGGGCCTGGACTATACTCGCATGGCGGCAGACCAGGTCACAGATCCCGGCGTCCAGGCCCTGAAGGTGGAGAGCGCGGGGCTGCGCTTGGAGGACGTGGTGTTCGGCGACGCGGGCATTACTCTCCTGTGTGACGTCTCTACGGGCCTGGCGCGGCCTGTCGTCCCTGCCAGCTGGAGGCGTCCTGTGTTCGAGGCTGTGCACGGCTTGTCACACCCCGGCGTTAAACCTTCGGTGCGTTTGGTAGCGGCGAAGTTCGTTTGGCAAGGACTGAAAAGGGACGTGAGGACTTGGGCCAGGGAGTGCGTGGCTTGTCAACGCGCTAAGGTGCACCGCCACACGAAGGCCCCGTTGGAGCGTTTCCTGGTGCCTGAGAGGAGGTTTGATCACGTCAACATTGACCTGGTTGGTCCGTTGCCTTCCTCTCAGGGGTTTTCCTACCTCCTCACCATGGTGGACAGAACGACCCGTTGGCCGGAGGCGGTTCCGCTCGTTTCGACATCAGCCGCAGACGTTGCCCGGGCCTTCATTGCAACGTGGGTGTGTCGTTTTGGCACCCCGTCAGACATTTCCTCAGACAGGGGCTCTCAGTTCACGTCCGAGCTCTGGAACGCTGTGGCAGGCGGTTTGGGGGTTAAGCTGCACAGGACTACCGCTTACCACCCTCAGGCTAACGGCCTCTGCGAGCGCTTTCATCGCTGCATGAAGGCGGCCCTCAAGGCCGGCCTTACGGACGGTAACTGGGTCGACAAGCTGCCCTGGGTGATGCTGGGCCTGAGGACCGCACCTAAGGAAGATCTGCAGTGTTCTACAGCGGAGATGGTCTACGGTCAGCCGCTGAGAGTTCCGGGGGATTTCCTCCCAAATGCATCGGCTCCCTGGTCGGCGTCGGCCCAGCGGGCTTTCCTGCGTGACGCCGCTGAGGCCTTTGCTCCGATCCCTACTACTCAGCAAGGTACTCAGGTGTCCCAGGTTCCCGCAGAGCTCCGCTCGGCGGAGCACGTGTTCATCCGGCACGATGCGCACAGAGGCCCCCTGCAGCCCCCTTATGATGGGCCTTTCCGGGTCTTGGAGCACGGGGACAAGCACCTGGTGGTCGACCTGGGTGGCAAGGCCGAGCACGTCTCGGTGGACCGGGTGAAGGCTGCTCACCTGGACTTGGACCAGCCTGTGGTGTTGGCTCGACCTCCGCGACGGGGCCGCCCCCCGGCCTCGTCCCCTGTCACGGATTTAAGACCTGTTGTTCCGGTCCCTCCCCTTCCGGGGGCCGCACAGGCGGGAGTCACTTTTCCGACTCCCGTGCTCAGGAGAGCACGGGAGCCCGTGGGGGTCGGCGTGTCGTTCCTCCCCGCCATGCTGATTTTGTTTATGTGTGAATTCTGGGGGGGCTTGTGTGGTGACACGTTATTGGACATAATTCACCTTGCTTATTGTGTTGCCACACGGACCCTTTAGTGGGGAACACCTGTAGCTTTAGCTGCCATTCCTGCTAGCTCATCAGGCAGAGCAGTGCATGTATTAACCTCTCTGAAAGTAATGGATAATAAAGATTGGAACTCCATTCTTAATACACCGC